CCTTAAGCTGCAAGGCAGCGCCATCTCTTCGCATTGTAGGTAGCCCACAATGTCAAATTAATACTTTTTGAAGTATTAAACATTTAAAAGAAGAAATAGCAATTATAGTAATGTTTTTATTTATTTTTAAGCATTTAAATGCTAGATGTTTAAATCTAAAGAAAAGTTTTACTAGAAAAAAAATCCACGCGGTACAGATAGCGGACGGGACTCGAACCCGCACCCTTCGCAATCCGGGCGAATGCACTGACCAATTACGCTACCACGGCCCTGATTATTATATTTCTTCTCTCAAATGTTTAATACTTCAAAAAGTATTCATTTGACATTGTAGGCTACCTACAATGCGAAGAGATGGCGCTGCCTTGCAGCTTAAGGCTAGGGAATTTTCGACGCGGCCATCAGGGCCGTGGTAGCATATTTGGTCAGTGCATTCGCCCGGATTGCGAAGGGTGCTGGTACGAGTCCCGTCCGCTGCCTGGTTCGCGTGGATTTTTTTCTAGTAAAACTTTTCCGTTATTATGATTCTAGATTCCGTTGGAAACTTCGTGAGATCAAATATTAGGTACCTTTCCGCTGCACTGATAAATTGATAAACATCATTAGGGAAACGGAACAATATACTTCGGAAAAATTAGTATGCCGTCCCTAATTGCTTGGCTATTTACGAGTCTGACTAAGGTAATGTTATGATGTATTGATTTGGCCGAATTATGTTTACAAATCTTTTGGTAGGTATTATAGTAGAGGAAGGCATTTTTTCACTATAGTCTATTCACATTGGCGTGAGACAAAATGTAAACAAACCATAAAAAAGGATTATTTTTAAGGTCACGTTTGACAAAAGTAAAGATTAAATACTATTTACATAAGAAATTCAGGGAAACATTAAGTTAATTATTTTATAGCACAGTGTGACCTAAACTCGCACTTTACGCACGCTTTTCCGTGACCTAAGTTGCCTATTTCTGCACGGTGTGTAAATGAATTGACCAACTTCACTCATGTAGAAAAAATAAAAGGAAACACATTTAAATGTCATTTGGAGCTTAAAAACTCACAGCAAACAAATGACAAATTAGCGATAGGTTAGGAATTTTCAGTGACAGCCAAAACAAGGAGAAACGGTTAGCTATAATTCATTCCGCGAAAATTGTATCTTTTGGTCTTATACTATAATATAATACTACTACTTATAAGGGCGGGTTTATGTCACAGTAATAGGCAACTTAGGTCACGCGTATCGTAATGTACTATTAAAATTAAAAATACATATGAATAAAAAAATAAAATATTTCACACATATTTAACGTACATAGATAAAATCGTATATTTTTATATCGCTGATAAAAGTTTTTTAACAACTTAAGTTGACATGGAAAAAGACCTAAAAACACAATCATTCCCAAACTTAAGACGTATTATAATACGACAAACTTTAAGAGTAGACATGATAAAGTATTTTACGTTGAAGTGTTGTGTTTTCTAATCGGTTGGTTTACGTTAGCCATCTTTACTCTCCCGATCAACCTGTTGACGAGAGCGTGCATATTCTATCATATTTGTTAAATTCTTGTTATTTCCTTGTTTTATTTGTTGAATTTGTTTAAAGTTAAATAAAACTAGTTTTTACGGGTTAATGCACAAAACTTTATTTATTTATTGACGTTTCGCAGCCTTTTCAGGTCTGCATCGTCAGAATAATGCAGTAAAAACTAGTTTTATTTAATGAGTGATGTGCGCGAAAACCTAAGAAACAAATATTGTTTAAAGTTGTTAATAAATTAAAGGTAACATAAATTATACGTAATCATTGACTAGTGGGTACTATCTGACATTATAAAAGTTTTAGAACCTCAGATTCTTTGTTTACATTTTGTCTCACGCCAAAGTGAATAGACTATAGTAATGGAGCTCCCTCAATTTGGTCGGTAAACAAGAACCTAATTATGTATTAACAAAATGAATACAAGCATGAAGCTAGTCCATCTTATTTTATAAATGCGAAAGTGTGCCTGTCTGTCAGTGTTGCCAACTCTACGTCTTTTTACGTAGATCTACGTATTTTAGGCCTTTTCTGGAAACCTACTAACTTAAGTCCCAGAATTTACGTATTTTCTTAATTTTTTTCAAATTTGTAAAATAACTTAATTCACTAGAATAATGAAGAATATTTTATATTGAATATTTAAGAAGATGTATGTAAACACTCTTGCATCTTGTAGAAAAGGTTCCCGTTATTGGTTTTGTTGACTAAATTAATGCTGGACGCAGGATTTGTGAAAGCAGAAACGACAAAACTCTTTGACTTATTAGGTACATTCAGATCTTTGCAAAAAGAAAAGACTTTCAGTCGATAAAGTTACAGGATTTAGCATGTTTTAAGCATATGTTCATGTGTAAGTATTTTTTTTCTCTTGGCAATTTAAACCATAACTTTTCTAGAGTCTTTTACCAAGTGTATCATGATAACTACTATATTTTTCATGTGATCTATTAGAAATCATGGTTTTATAATATTAACTTAGAAAGTTTATTTCCTACGTGCTTGCGAGTGTTTGTTTACAAATGTTTTGGCGCCATAGCATAGATAAGTCTATAGACTAAAGAGCGTTTTTGTATGTCTTCTAGGTAAAAAAAAAATTTTTTTTTTCGTGCAGATAGAATAATTATTAACAATTTAAAACATAATTCCAAAAAGTGTCAAATAGCCATTTAACAACAGTTTATCCTTGTCATTCTCTATACAGAATGAAAAGAAGAGACTGATGTTAAATTAAGTTTTAAATTTAGAGAACCATCCAGAATCGGCACCCACCAGTGTCTGTGTCTGATGGTAAATGTTTACCACAGCATGGTAAATGCTTCCAATGCAGCGACTTCTCCAAGAACTCTTCGTTCTATCTCCCGTTCTTAAACAAATTGTATAACAAAATACTCGTTTTATTCGGTTTCAAATAACTTCTTCATTTCACTCAGAAAAAAGTACGTAGATCTACTTACTTTTCATATGCAAAATTTACCAATTCTACGTAATTTTCTCATCTGGCCTACGCCTTTTTCAAAATCCGAGTTGGCAACACTGCTGTCTGTTACCTCTTCACGCTTATTTCACGTGAAGCGCGCAGCGAAAAAAAGAGTCATCTTACCGATTTCAGTTATACTTATTTTAGTATGTTAATAACTGAACATACATATATCCTCGGCACAGATATTTTGGAAAATTTTTACATTTCCAAACCTATGTTTCAAAATATAGGTCAGGTCTTTATCAGTTCAATAACAGCAATTTTGAAACAAATTGATAATTGAATAATATACATCATTTACCACCTTCTTCATCTTTATATTTTCGAATTAGTTTTTATTAATTGCTAAAAAATATTAAAGAAAGAAGAAGTCGGGTCAACATATAGGCTATATATTATCACACTATCCCTTACGGCCTGGGTTCCGAACCTGGGGGTAATTACCCCTCCGGGGGTAAATCAGCCATACTTCGGGGGTTATAAAGAACCATATTATTTGATCAAATCTAAATAATAAAAAAATACTATAAAATAATACTACTAAATAGAGCATGCGCTCCTTCTTGCTAGTGAGCCCGCGGGGTGCTGAGTGTGGGAAGCGGGGCGAGATTTTCTCCTGATGATGACATTATTAGACACGAAGATAAATAATAATAAATAAATAAATATTTCCAACACACACCAATTAGCCTAGCCCCAAAGTAAGGACTGTAGGCTTGTGTTATGGGATACTAGGGTAACGGATAGAATACATATATACTGATACAGAAATAAGTATATTTATATAGAAATACATATTAAACATTCATGACTGGAGTACAAATGCTCGTATTCGTCACACAAACATCTGCCCCCACCGAGATTAGAACCCGAGACCGCTCGAGTAGGCGACACCTTGAAACCCGGCGTACAAACCACTCGGCCACGGAGGTCCTCAAAAGATAGAGAGACAAAGATATAGCAGCAAAATTGGAATTTCTTGGACTGATGATAACATTTTAAAGTCGGGGTAAAATCTGTTTTCCTAATAGGTTACAGGGGTAGCAGTATTGGGAAGGTTAGGAGACACTGACCTACGGGGAACGAGCAGTGAACCTTTATTTCTAAGTAACTACACGCGTACGAAGTCGCGGGCAGTAGCGGCCGCCGTATTCAATAACTCTTGATTATATGTGTCCGTGATGCTAGCGTACCCACGATCAATATACGGTTTTTCGTTATGCCATTAAATACTGCGTAAATAGTGCCAAATTAGTGTAAAAATAAAAAAAATAGTGCCTCTTTAATTTAAGAAATAAAGACCATTTTTACTGTGTACGCTACCATGACGTCAAGCTAGCGTACCCATGGCCGACCCCAAGAACGGCATATATTTAAGCAACGAAATTGACACACAAAAATAGTTCGCAAATAGTGCCCTGGCTTTACAAAATTTCATAATCAATACTCTTAAAGGACCAAAGATATTGAACTAAACATTCTTAGCTGGCGTCAACCTGGCGTACCCATAATAGTTCTCATAGAAAATGAACTTTTATCGTTATCAATTCTATATGTATAATTTTATTTTTACACTAATTTGGCACTATTTACTCAGTATTTAATGGCATAACGAAAAACCGTATATTGATCGTGGGTACGCTAGCATCACGGACACGATTATATACGTTTTTTGAAGTGAAACTTCTTTACGCACGCTTGACTTGGGGGGTAAGCTGGCGAATGGGAAAATCAAGAGGTTCATTTCTGGGTTGTAGTATTGCATTGTTTAATAAACTGACTAAATTTAAATCTCTGATCAATATCTTTTGACCAGATGCATTTTGTATATTTTAATTCAATAAAACTTTTTATTCTCGATTTATGCACATTCACATTGTTATAATTACGTGTGATGTGCCACTACAATAGCTAAAGGTATACGTGCCCACGATAATAATCAAATACGAATTAAACGTCATCATCACAACAGACAACAGTCGCTTCATGAGGTGAGTGATAAAAACGCCACAGGACAACGGCAATCATGTATTCTGAATGTAGCGAGCAAGACGCGAACGCACAGCTTACATAGAAAAAAAAAACACACAATATATAAAACTTTTTTCCGCCTGTAAATAACGAAACAGTATCTACCTCAAATTTTGATTTAAGAACTTTTCCATAGATAGAACATTTTCTCTAAAAACGTTTGCACGAAATACTTATCTATGTTATAAAAAAAAAAGTTCACTCTCTAGTTACGGGTTTTAGAATTAAGTACCGAAAGTTATATCGCTTTTAAATAAGAACAATGTGTGGTGTGGTCCTATTCAAAGTCATCATAATGCTAAGTGCACTTACATTAATTACTGAGGCTCAATACTCCAGAAAGGATAATATGGATGCGCCAGTGGTGAGTGATAAACTGTATTATCTATATATAGTATATTTTATTTAAATATTAGATTAATATTTTTACGTATGGACTCTGCCTGATCTTTTTCTTTTTATCTGTTAGTTACTTTGTATTATATTTCATAGCTTCCTTATATATTTACTATTTTCATCTAATATATAAAATTCTCGTGTCGCGGTGTTTGTGTTGTTGTTAAACTGCTCCGAAACGGCTTTCCCGATTCTCATGAAATTTTGTGTGCATATTGAGTAGGTCTGAGAATCGGACAACATCTATTTTTCATCCCCCTTAATGTTAAGGGTAATCCACCCCTAAACTTTTTTTAAAATTTTAAATTTTAGATATTTTTTTTTAATTTTTTTTTATGATACATCATACAAAAATACATACAACCCTAAATTTTCACCTTTCTACCACTAACCCCTATTTTTTTAGGGCGCTACGAAGTTCGCTGGGACAGCTAGTCTAATCTTTATATATATACATAATTCTTCTGTGAGTGTGTATGTCACTGAACTTCTCTTAAACGACTGGACCGATTTTGTAGAAATTTTTTGTGTGTGTTCAAGGGGATCTGAGAATGGTTTAGATTCACAATTTTGTCCGCTGGACAATGTTTTTTTAATTAAATTTTTTTATGGCGGTACGAAGTTCGCTGGGTCAGCTAGTACATATATAAAATTCTCGTGTCGCGGTGTTTGTGGTTAAACTGCTCCGAAACGGCTTTCCCGATTCTCATGAAATTTTGTGTGCATATTGGGTAGGTCTGAGAATCGGACAACATCTATTTTTCATCCCCCTAAATGTTAAGGGTAATCCACCCCTAAATTTTTTTTTTCAATTTTAGATTTTTTTTTAAGTTTTTTTATGATACAGCATTAGTAAATACATATAACCTTAAATTTTCAACACTTTACAATCAACACCTATTTTTTTATGGCGGTACGAAGTTCGCTGGGACAGCTAGTATTCTTATATTTACGTCTATTTTATTTTTAAAATGCACTAGCCCGCAGTTTCTTCTATTTTCATGGTATGGTTTCATTTAGCCAAAGGTTGCCTGGTAGAGATTGCTACCTTAGCAATAAGGCCGCCTTTTGTGTTTGTGTTCCTTGAGTTTATATGTTGTATATATTTTGTTAAATAGTGCAATAAAGAATATTCATTCATTCATTCAATATTTTTACGTACATTTGATATCTCGGCTAGTTTAATTTATTTTAATTAAAAAATCTGTTTTGCAGTTTTGGATAACACAATTATCCAAATTTATAAATTGCTCCTTCATTTACAAAATTGACTAAAGTAAGATCTATAGTTATCGGTAAATACTTGTACCGCTTATAAAATGATTGTTTACTAGACGACAAAAATATCATGTAATTTACTTATTTAAGGGTGCGTCCATAAATTACGTGAGATGTTTAAGGGGGGCAGGGGGTCATCTCATCTAATCTTACGTTGGAGAGAGGGAGCGGGGTCTCCGCAAATATTACGCAATTTTTTTTTTGACTGAAACATAAAAATCTATTTTGATCCATTTAATCCAGATTGTACATGCTTAAGATTTAATCTTAAGCTTTATCGTAATACGATTAAAATAATTCACTAATTCGTTCGAAAGGAAATAATTTCATTCATACTCCGACGTTATACATATACCGACTGTCAAACCACCATATTTGTTTTATACTAAATAGCTAAATTTAATATTTATTACACTTAGAACTCACAGCAATATTGGTTATTCGTCTTAACTAGTCGTAAATAAAAGCACAAAACAATCCAACGCGTTTATGAAAGAAACCCACATTTTGAAAAATCTGACGTGAGATTGGGGGATGAGGGATGGGGGAGGGGGTTTAATAAAATCTCACGGCATCTCACCAGGGGGGGAGGGAGGGACAGAAAATTCTAAAAAAACACCTCACGTAATTTATGGACGCCCCCCTAAGTACTTGTACCGCTTATAAAATGATTGTTTACTAGACGATAAAAATATCATGTAATTTACTTATTTAACAAACTACCCAGTATTATTGTCAGATAATAATGTGTGATTATGGAAGTAACGGAAGGTATCGGAAAATATTATTTATTGTAACGATGTGTAGCTCGGGAGTTGTCAAAAATAACTCAGACTCGTTCAATTGCCTACCGGAGACCCTAGCTCAACATATGTATGCTCAGTCAATTGGTTAGTGCATTCGCCCGGATTGCGAAGGGTGCGACTCAATAGACATATGATAGGAAGAAATCCAAATACAATCACTGCCTATAGGAGACCCTAGCTCAACATATGTATGCTCAGTCAATTGGTCAGTGCATTCGCCCGGATTGCGAAGGGTGCGACTTACGGTTGCCAGATTGGCTGGACTTGGCTGGATTGTCCAGCTATTTTACACGTTGTCCAGTGTCCCGGTTTTAGGCAAAATGTCCAGCTAAAATGAAGCTGAAAATTAAAAACCACTAGTATCAGTGGTTTTTCCACCGAGTTGGCAACACTGGCTCCGCTGCGGCCTCTCGCTATCTATGCCCGGGATTGAATTCAATAATTCGATTGAACTTTGACGAAAATTGTACTAAATTTAAATCTTTTCTAAGTACAGATAAAGGTTCTAAAATGATAAATGCGGCTAAAGGAAATGCTAAATATATGTGGCAGAAAAAGTTATTTCATATTAATTTTGTTTAATTAAGGTTCCTCTGTTTTGTAATAATAAGAAATTTTTATAATCATGCTGATTATTTTTGTCCAGCCAAAAATCCTAATGTCCAGATATTTTATAATGTTGTCCAGAAATTTTGATTTCTCAATCTGGTAACCCTAGCGCGACTCGATAGACATATGATAGGAAGAGATCCAAATACAATCACTGCCTACCGGAGACCGTAGCTCAACATATGTATGCTCAGTCAATTGGTCAGTGCTATCGCCCGGATTGCGAAGGGTGCGGGTTCGAGTGCCGTCTGCTGCCTGGTCCGCGTAGAATTTTTTCTAAGCATCAAGCAGTTACATGCTTTGAAAATAATAAAAATTATAAATATGAAATATATTAGAAATCATGGTTTTGTAATGTAAATTCAGATAGGTTATATCCTGCGAGTGTTTGTTTACTATTGTTCCCGTCATACCATAGATAATCTATAGACTAAAATGGCCGACAGCGTTTTTGTATGTCCATGAAAAATCTATTTTAAAATCAAAGTTTTGTAGCTTTCTAGGTAAAAAAAAAATACAATACATTTTTTTCGGTCTAATAGAACAATTATTAACCATTTAAAACATATTTCCAAAAAGTGTCAACTAGCCTATTGTCAACATGCATCAGTGGTTCAGTGGTAGAAAGCCCTTAGGCTTTTAGGCCTTTAAAAGTCTCACTTTTTCTTCATTTCATTTACTAACAATGGTTTCTAGTGTTGCTGAACTATCGATATGAAAACTATCGACAGTTTACATCGAAAATCATGTACCCTATAGATAGGCCTATCGATAGAATCGATACAATCGATAGTATCGAAACTATCGATAGCACAGAACAAGGCAAGACTATCGAATGAGTGCAATAGTATCGATACTATCGATACTATTGTAGTTCGTTAATAACAAACTATTGATAGTATCGATACTATCGATACCGTTGATTTTATCTACAACAATACTATCGATAGTATCGATACTAGCGATTGTTTTAGACTATCGATAGTCTACCATTTTGCAATAGTATTAGGTATGTTTTAACAGTATTGTAGTTGAAGACTATTAGAGGCCGATATATATATTTTTATAAACATTTTTATCGAGCTGTGCTAATTCTAATAGTTGATTGTGATTGACTATAATACCTGAAAATTGTAAACAATACTATTGCAAATTGTTAAACTATCGATAGTATAGTTGCAAATAAAATCGACAGTATCGATACTATCGATAGTTTGTTATTACCGACCTACAATACTATCGATAGTATTTCACTCATCCGATAGTATTGGCTTGTTCTGTGCTATCGATAGTATCGATACTATCGATAAGCCGATCGATTGTCATACGATTGGTCGGCTATCGATAGACTATCGATTAATCCTCGATAGTCGACTATCGATCGGCAACACTAATGGTTTCTAATCGAAGAACTTCCGCCCAGCATAAGTGTTAAAAGTATGGATGGGATTGTAATGTTTTACTTTAATAATATTAAAGAAATAATAGCAAAAACGCATAATTAACCCTTAACCAATTACTGACTATTTAGTTGCACTAACAGTGACGCACGTATGACATTCGTCCGTGACTTGTAAAGGCTGTGATGGGACATGCATGAATTGAGATAATTATATATTTTTGTTGTTTATACGCTAAGTAATTTAAATATATTTCGCAAAAATATTCGTTTTTATATAATAATATTATGAGGAGCTGGCGAACAAAACGGTATAATTACATAAAATAAAATTTTGCATGATAAATTAGCCCGCGTGATGGGTCATGGCCCAATCTCCCTATTCAGGGAGGCATGGGCGGAGGGTGCCGGATTATTGGACGTGCCGATCTATCGAAGTGCCGGATTAGTGAGATTATACTGTATACACATCGAAATGATAACCTCCTACGTTTTTTTCGTCGGTTGAAAACCAATCAGAAATCAATATATCTTTATTCAAATTGGATGTATAGTACAACTCTTTTGAATCGTCCAAAAATTTTTTCCCTACCACTCGTTATGGACATATTTTTTTTGCTGCGGAGAAAAACGAGCGAAAAAAACTCCACAACATTAAAAGTCTAATGTAACAACATTTACAAATCATTATGTTGTTACAACGTCAATACAATTATGATTTATTTAATATAGAAAACCTGTTGGAATGATTGGAACAGTTCAAACCCAAGCATTTTTATCTGTAATATAATCAGACACTTTGTAATAAGCTTTTTTTATAATATCTTTAAATTTATTTATGGCTAACTCTTGAATATTGCTTGGGACTTTATTGTA